TGAACCGCTTATCTCGGAGTGCTCGGGTAAACAAAATTAAAAAACACCCCCCAAAAGCTTTATCGCCGTCCGGCATGGACGGGAATTCGCAGCCGCCCCTTGCTCCTGCGTCCCGACGTGTGGCCTGTCCCGCTGGAGTGGGTGCTCCGTGTCCCCCACTGCCCTCCTCACGCGTGAATCTTGGGGGACTTTTGCAGGTGCCAATGCGGCTTTGGTTGGAGGGGTGAGAATCCTGGTCTCCTTCCTCAGAGAGAAAGCTTTATCGCCGTCCGGCATGGACGGGAATTCGCAGCCGCCCCTTGCTCCTGCGTCCCGACGTGTGGCCTGTCCCGCTGGAGTGGGTGCTCCGTGTCCCCCACTGCCCTCCTCACGCGTGAATCTTGGGGGACTTTTGCAGGTGCCAATGCGGCTTTGGTTGGAGGGGTGAGAATCCTGGTCTCCTTCCTCAGAGAGATAAGGGAAACAGGCCGGCATCGCCCGGCAAGAGCTGGACGCAGTAAATGTGATTGGTGGAGCGCTGCTCTGAAACTGTAACTCCTGAAACTCCTAATAAAACTAACAGTTTTGTTACCTTTCTGTATTACTTCTTTTTCTAAAGCCTCCATGTTTTGCGTAGACGAGGAACTCTCCCGCCTATGAAGCGCAGAGTGGATAGCGATTGTAGATGGAAAGGCAAAGAGGGCTCTGTGGAATCGCATTGAATTTGCTCGTGGCTTCTCGGAAGCAAAAGTCTCGTCACCCGTAGCTACGAGATTTATCGTTTTTCCCCAAATCGCGTGTCAACGCATTGCTTTGTTGTGGTCCTGAAATTTAAAAGTCACCTGGGTGCAACGTTCTCTCTCTAGCATATTTCCTTCAAGAATTGTTTTTGGCTCTCTAGAATTGCTGTTTTTATTATGCCTCTGTGTATTTTCTTTGCTTTGTTTTCTCAAGGATTTATGTAACCTGGCTTTGATAAGTACTGACTTGAAGCAGCTGTTAAAATGAGATTGTTCTTCTACCTGTGCAGAGGCAGTTCAGGTGCTGGAATGAACGATCTTTCCACGTAGATCCTGCCCGTGAGCTGCATCACGAGTCGCCGGGTTAAGGACTGGGTGATGACACTCAGGTCCCTGTCTCTGAGAGACTCGTGGGCTTCTCCAGAGGCCTCTGTAGGATCAGGGCCTGACTTACATCAACGTTAGGAGCTACCTGTTGTGTTTTTACATGTTTAAAGAAAAACAAAATGACTTAATTGTCACAAAAACGCATCTGGGGCAGGAGCAGGATGAGGCAGCTGTTGGACAGTGCCTAGCCACCGCACAAAGGTTGGGGACGTCAGGCTGATGGAACTGCGTCCCATTGAAACTGCAGGTTAAGCTGCTGCAAACATGCAGCGTCGCTTCCCTCCGGGCCTGCGCTCTTGCTGCCACCTCGGGTTAATAGCCAACATGTTTGTGTGGGAAGTGCTTTGGGCTGGAAGGGCGACAGCGGCGGGGAGCAAGGATAAAGCGAGGGGGAAGAATCGCGGAGCTAGCGCGGGTCCCAAGAGGCTTTTTGCCCTCAGCCTTGGTGCTCTTCCTCGCATCTTTGATATGGCACCTGGGATGCTCTTATGGAACAGGCAGGTAGCGCAGATTGCTTGCAAAGGAGCAAGAATTTCAAGACGTGTAACCAGAAAACTTTGTTTAAACTACCCCGAGGCTTGGGCAACCTCGAGGAGAAGCTTCTGGGGCTTTGCGGAGAGCTGTAGGAGCAGCTGCCTTTGCTCCCTCGCATTTGGATTTCCAATGGGTGCTGCAGCAGCAAGCGCGGTGAGCATCGGAGCAGAGAGGCGGAGGGTCCCTGCAGCTGCACGCACCCCTCTGCTCGCGCCCTGTGAGAAGCAGCTTCCCTCTTTCTTTGGGGGCTTTTTGCTAAAGCCGCTTTTCAGCCCCTCTCCCAGCAGCCTGGATCTTGCTCTGTGCTACAACGTTGATCTTCATAGGCAAAAGTCAGGGCCGCATCCTGGCTGTTGTGCTCACAAGGTGGTTTTGCCCTGTTAACAAAACAGTAACATGGTGCCTTTGTAGTTACTTAGCTCCCAGAGGCCCCTAAAAGCCAAGGCCTTCCTGGTGCTGCCAGCAGACCTGGCATTTCTGATTCCCAAGAGATCCCTAGGCAGGGTAAGATCATTTGCTGTCAGTCCCACTTTAACTCTCAGTGCTGGAATTTCTGTGTCCTGAACTCTTAGGATTTTTTTCTTTTGCATCAAGACAGTTGCATAAAAACAGTACTAGTTTTTGTTTGTTTGTTTCTTTGTTTTTTTGCTGTGAACTGCTCAATTTTCATAGCACTTCCACTCAGTTTGGAGAATTCTAGAGTAAATTTATTATTTCTAGATCTGGTTAATAATTGAGATCAGCAACAAGTCTTCCCACATGGACAGCTGAGCACTGGGTCTCACAGCATCGCACAGACTCCGTTGCTAGAGTGTTTTTGCCTCCCCTGTCCCACTTTGCAGCTGAAGGAGGAAGGAGAGCAGAGAGAAGAGCAGTCGGAAACACCGCCAGGAGCTTTGGGCGTTGAGATGTTTTACTTCCCAAGCAGAGTTTCCTTGGGGCTTTTTGCAGCATTCCTTGCTGCAGCTCATTGCTCAAGCCTCTTAGGGCCCCTTTCGTGGCAAGTTCCTGCCAGTTCACGCGCTGGCTTGTGTTTTTTAGCAGGGAATCATTAAACCCTTAGGACAAAGTGCCTCTGCCTGTAGGTCCCAGCCATTGGGGCTGCCTAGGTGAGGAGCACGAGCCAGGGCAGTGATGTTGGCTTTGGAAAACTCCGCTTGGTGCTGCCTTTTGTTTGGGTTTCTAACAGTCTGTTCTCTCTTCTCCCCTGCCCCACTGCAGAGTTCTACCTTGTAAATACTGTTATTTGTATATACTGTAAATGATGACATCGGTGGGCACTAACCGAGCCCGGGGGAGCTGGGAGCAGACACAGACACAGAGCCAGACACAGCACAAGCAGCGGCCACAGGTAAGGGGAGCATCCGTGGAAATGGCCATGGATTCTGCACTGGGGCCTCCGAGCGGGGAGCCGGGCCTGAAATTTTTTTATTTACTTCTCCTTGGCTGTTCTCTGCACGTTTTAATAAATGTGAACGGCTGCGTGTGGAGTTGGCCGTGGTGTTGAGGTCCCCCTCAAAATGGGAAAAGAAATCGGGTTATTTTGGCTCATCCATTACAGAGGGGCTGCCCAGAGGTGTTTCTCTGCTTCTGGCTGTCTCCCGCTTGCTCCTCTTCTGTCTGATTTTCTTCCTGAAGATTTCCCCTTTCTGCCCCACATTTGCACCTCTTTCTTCGTCATTTTGATTCCAGCGCTTTTGGAGAAGCTGCATGGCCTTTGGAGGAAGGTTGGTTTGAAACATGCTGCTCTAACTGTGCTCCCTTTTCTCTTTTGCCTGCAATCCCCTTAGGCCACTGCAGAACAGATTCGACTTGCACAGATGATTTCGGACCACAACGATGCTGACTTTGAGGAGAAGGTGAAACAAGTGAGTCTGGAAAGCGGGCGAAGGGTTCTGCGAGGGCGGGAGCAGTGGCAAAGGTGCAGTTAATGCAGCACCTGTGTTTCCTGGGGTGGAGGGTCTGCGGGCCTTCTGAGCTGAGGAGGTTGTAGATTCGGCTGTGATGAAACACAGGAACTCAAACTCCTCAGCTCTGTGGATCAAGACTTCATTCTAGGGCATAATTAAGCTGGAGCCGGTAGGGAGACTGGCAAACCTTGGTGTTTCTTTATAGGATTTCTGGTTTGGGATTAAATTTGACAGCCTTCCAAGAGATCTGGTG